TTTACGTTCGTGAATAGGTTTTTCACTTCGCTCGACTCTCTTATTTACGGTTTTGTCATTGATCTTTCAATTTTTCAATTTGTTAATCTCCTTTTGTAGTTTATTTGTCGATAAGATCAAATATGTTTGTATCTATTTTTGTTCAAGTTTTGATTAAATTTTTTAATCTTTATTTATGATTTTTACGTGATATTAAATTGTTAATTTTGTGTTAATTATTTAAAAAATTATATTCAAAATATAGATTTAATTTACGAATACTATTGTTACGTATCATAGTACTTCAGGATATTTTCTTTTTTAAATAAAATAGGTAAATGGAAATATAGAATAGGTTCCGAGAATTGGCAATTTTCTCAATAAATCACCGGTGATCGGTATATTTACCGATCTAACACCGGTCAGATTATATTTCCCGAACTAACACCCGTAGCAGTAAAGCGCGCCCCCTGAACCGCGCTATACGCTGATTTGGCGCCACGTGGGTATAGCGCGCCCCCTGCCCCGCGATATACGGTGATCTGGCGCCACGTGGGTATAGCGCCCCCCTGATCCGCACTATACCTGGGTATCTGACACGTGGGGTATAGCACGATGCAGGGGGCGCGCTATACCCCTAAATACCCATCCCTTCACGTCCCCATCCTCCCTATAAATACCCCCATCCTCAATCATTTTTATCACACCAAATTCTCTCAAATTCTCTAAATTTCTCTCAAATACTCTATCTTTTTAAGGTATATTTTATAATATTTTTACTATTATGTATTTACTTTATTTAATATTTTGCTGATGCCGGACAAATCGCGCAACCTAGTTCACTGCATGTGGTTGCGACATCTTAGCGACTTTCGTCTCGCCGGATCATTCAGTTGGGGCTCGACAGTTTTGGTTTTGCTGTACAGGGGAGATGTGTGGAGCCACTGACTACAGACATATTGCTATCGGCGGATGTCTCCTGCTGCTGCAGTCTTGGGCATGGTATTGATTGCCCTTTTTATGTCCTGTTGTGAAGAACCCATTTGTATTTCCACTACTTCTGAGGTAATTATAAAACTGATTTATATATTAATAATTTTATACAACGTATAACAAATTTTTTTCCTTGAATAGGTGGTTTACTGATAGGAAAAATCATCAGGAGCTACCTGATGATTTAGAAAAATTAGGGTGCTAATCGATCAGAAGGCTGGCACACAGGTATGAATTTTAATGTTTAAAAATCGATTTTAGATTATAGTTATATAATTAGATTATTATTTTGATAAAAATTATATATTATTTGTTTTAGTTTGAATGGGTGTCATATTCTACTGATGTTGTGAGGGCGGTGATCCCACCTGAGTTGAGGGGTCCATCAGATGTTTGGATGGCGATGGTCCCTTTGATCTGTTATGCGACCGTCGAGTGGCACTCCACTGATCGCGTGCTCCGGCAGTTTGGTTGTTTTCAACCAATTCCGGAAGCACATTGCAATATGGACGAGTTGCATAACTTAGATAGACGCGGCAAGACATATACAGATTGGCTGGTGAGGCATCATGGGTGGGTCGTGTTGTGGGAGGATCGACATCGGCGCCTTCCCCGTAGAGAGCCCATTTTTTATGACCTCTTGATGTATGCTGAGGATTATTATGAGTGGTTCAACAGTAACGGGAAACCTTTTCTACTTCCCGAGGATGCACGAGGTCAGACCTTTCCGCGACGTCGACAGAGACGTTCACCGACACAACACCATTATCCCCCGACTCGTGGACGGAGAGCAGGTGCTTCCAGTTCATCCTCAGCTGCACCAGCAGGACCTTCCCAGCAGCCACCGCAGCCATATATGATGCCGTCATCGCCTTTCCATTACCAGATGTCGCCGCCGCTGCCTTCACCTGGTTTTATGACCCCGCCACCGTCACAGGTGACTTCTCCTGGAGGCTATTATGGGTCTATATTTGCAGATCTGACTTGGGGTTCATATGTTGGATATTTGGCGGGTTCAGCCTCATCACTCATGGCCGCAACACAGACACCTCCTGTACAGTTTTCACACTCAGCGATGCCCGCAAATCTTGAAGCATTGATTCAAACGTTCGAGGAAGTAGTTCGTAACCTGATCAAAAAATGTATAACTTTCTAACTTGCTTTCTTTGCAAAATTAAAATGATAAAAAAATGTATAACTTACTAACTTGCTTTTACTTACCCATGCGCACAATTAATTGATGCTCATCATTCTTTTTGTGCCTTCCATGATAGTTCGCAGTAATGTGTCGGAGACAATACCTATGTTGGACAAAGGGTGGTTGCCATATTGGACCCAAAGACTCCATTGTTGCTTTGATCCCAGCTCCGCGATCTGAAATGACACAGATATTTTCCCTCGTGATAACATGTGCACGTAAATTTCGGAGGAAAAAAGCCCAAGAATCTGTATCTTCTCCTTCGACAAGAGCAAAAGCAACTGGAAGAATGTTGCGATTGCCATCTTGGACAACTGCCAATAATAAAACTTGCTTGTATTTTCCATACAAGAAAGTCCCGTCGATCTGGACCACAGACTTGCAGTATTTGGCAGCATAAACGCACTGTGGGTAACTCCAAAAAACCCGGTAGAATTGGCATCGATCGCGAAGAACTCGATCATTATGGTATGCATAGAAGGTTTCGAAGTCCACAATTATCCCAGGATTCAACGTCCGCACCAACCTAAACCAACATGGAAGTTCGCTGTAAGATGCATCCTATTCGCCATGAAGTTTGACAATGGCATTTTGTTTTGCCAACCAAGCTTTTTTATAGGAGACGGTGTACCCATACTGCGATTGTATAGCTGAAATAAACACTGCAACAGCTATATGAGAGCTTACTTTTACCATGGGTATGATGGCTTGGCATATCACTTCAGAGTCCAAGTTAGGATGATCTTGGTTGACCCCTCCAGCACAACATGTGTGAGGACCGTTGTATACTGTTAGTTCCCATATGTTGTTTTTCCTCTTCATTTTTGATACGCGAACCATCCAATTGCATCTGTTTTCGCGTCGGGCACAGTAGCATACATATTTTTCAGTCGTTGATCGGTTGACTCTAGACTGAACAGAATTACGGATAATGTAATTTTTGATAGCCATCATCGCTTCTTCTTTGCTTGAAAAATCCATGCCTAAAGATAACTCACCATTATTTTTTGATGAGTAATATCCATAGTCACCGAGATGAGGCATATCCGCAAATTCTGTCTCGTACATTGCACCATAATCAGCTTCATACATGTGTGCAGGAGGGTCAGTTTGTGCCACATTTCCTGAAACTTCATCATCATCGGAGTTGAATTGCGGTGATTCTGGGTGAATGAATAGTCCAGTCTCAGCACCATCCGCACTAGGCTCATGAAGCGGTTCTTCTGGTGGAGATGATGGTTCCTCCATGCTCTCCACATTTAGGTCGAAGAACCTACTACTACTTGCACGCCTTCCCCTTGAACTGGAAGGCATATCGACATTGAGATCGAAAAAGCTCGCAGTCGAATGTTTCCCCCTGGAGCTTGAAGTCATCGTGTCAAATGGAAACTGCACAGATGGTTGTGTCGATGACATCTCCATATGGTCAAAGAAATTTGCAGATGAATGCCTTCCCCTTGAACTGGACGCGGTGTTTCCATACGGATTGTTCGTGGACCCACCTCGGTACATATCGTAAGGAGTTGCGGATGAATGTCTCCCCATTATGGCATTAAAATCATTACACATTACTGTAGTCGGGCTGTCAACTTGATCAACTTGTTCAGCCAACCCATAGTGTGAGCTTAAAGATTGACCCCGAACAGCACGCACTTGAACAAAATATGCATACATCTCAATAGCGGCGTCTAAATAATTACTTTGAGCTTCAATTATCATTGTTCGAACGTTGTATAAGTTAATAGCAACAATGATGTTGGAAATCTGTACTGCAACGACAACATTCTTCTGTTACTTCCAACATGAATCTTTCTCGAGATCCTCGTTATCAGCTCCTCAAGAGTTATTTTCTCTTGAATGATATTTTAACATGCTCATTTGATACGAAAACAACGCCGGTTTCATCTTCTCGAATTTCACCATAATAATAAACAATAGCTGAAAGTCGCGCCATTCTTTGAGTTTAAAAGTGCGACAATATTATATTTGCAAAAAAAATAACTTAAACAAACCTGATTAAATAAATTATATATGAACGGAAATATAACACAAAATTTTTTTTACACATCAACGTAAATAATTTAAATAATTTAATTTTATATTATTACCTGTACCACAAAACTATTTCGACGTATGCTCCCGCTTTTCAATTTTACAAACATAAAAATTAATTAAAAATAATTAGTATAATATTTTTTCAAATAATGATAATAAACAATAAGTATAATTAAAAAATTATAACAAAATTACCTTATAACGAAAAATCGCACGAACTTCTAAATCAAATATAAGAAGATTGCCAGAATTATTACTCGTTGACAGAATTTTTGTATTAATTTATAAAAGAGGATAGATGTGAGGAGATGTGAGGAGAGATGCGAGAACGAGAGGTATTTATAAACATATAAGGCGCGGTACCTGCACCGCGTTATATGTAATTATTATATAACGCGGATCAGGGACCGCGTTAAATATAATTTTGGTACGGCGTATAGCGCGGCTACTGATCCGCGTTATACCATTACGTGGCATATAGCGAGGAGCAGGAGGAGCGCTATACCCCACGTGTAACCCAGTCAACGTATAGCGTGGTACAGGGGCGCGCTATACTTCACGTGACGCCAAATCAACATATAACGCATTTCAGAGGGCGCGCTTTACTGTTACAGGTGTTAGATCGAGAAATATAATCTGATCAGTGTTAAGTCGATATATATACTAATCACCGGTGATTTCTTAGAAAAATCGCCCCGAGAATTTAACTCAAAATTGAGATGCTTTCCTCTACTCTTCCTCTTCCATGTCCGAACTCCGAACCTTTCAACCGTATTTGCAAAATGAAAATGAAAATATAATATCATAATAAAACCGCTTATAATCTTTGGAGCCTTCTCGTCTCTCTGTTGCTAGGGTTTTGGGTCTGCTTTTCTTCTGCTCTCATGTAAGTCCCAATCCATCCCTCCTTTATTTTCTGTTTGACGACACATCTTCTAAAATTCTTCTTTTCCTGGCTCTTAAAGAACATAAATTTTCATGTTATTGAATATCTCCCATTTCATGACAAACGCCAGGTTCCTGTTCGGTTGCTTGAAAACTCAAGAAATAGCGAGAATATATCTACAAGTTAATTCCATTAGTTCTATTTTGTCTATGGTTTAGCTGAAAGTTTCTGTTGTTACTTAGAGGATTCATGTTTAGAGATACATAATTATTTCTTATTTTTACGCTTGCAAGCGTTAAACCCTTTATTCTGGGACTTCATGAAAAATTTTGCCTTTTTCTTCTTCCCCCCCCCCCCCCCGGTTTAGCTTGCAATGTTTAGCTTTCAGTTTTTGACCATACCTTTTGTTTGCCCCTTGGATTGTAATAGCATAGTGGATTCTATTCTGTTTCCATTTCTAATTTAGTTTATATGATTGGGTACTTTAACGATCAGTCGTCTTTTATAAATATGATCAGGTAGTGATTGTTATGTTTTCTATGCATGTATATGAAGAAAGGGAATTTGTTCAAGACAATTTGGATTCTATTCTGTTTCCATTTCTAATTTGGAGAAAAAGTCGTTTGTACCTGATCATATTTATTCCATTTTATTGGTGGTTCCTTTAGTAATAACATTTTGAGTTTCTGTGAACTAATGTTTGTTTCAATGTGCTTATTTTTTCATTGGACCATGCTCTATTCCTTGTTCATGTGTTTTGTGGATGTTTTTATGGAAATTTGGGGTAGTGCACGTCTGTTTGTCGGTTATCCTTTGCGAACACCCAAATTTTGGTCATGAGTGTCACCTTCTTGAGCATCTATTTTATTATTTATGTGCTTGCAACTATTCCTGCAGACACTTTTGCAATGTTTGGTTATTATGGTTGGATGAGAAATTATAAGTCCGCAAGATTCATGTTAATTTGTTTTATGATCATTTAATTGGATATATATTGTTTCCAATGATCTGCAGCTCTCCTACTTTGCACAAGAAAGTCTTCAACTTTCAGTTTCTCAGCTTATCTGCAATGGGGGATGCAGAAAATGCCCTTCCACCTTCAAAGAAGAGGGCTGCCGGAAGAGAAATTTCTCGTGATAATCCTGGTCTTGATGACGATGAAGATTCTTCTGAACAAGAGAATGGAACTTTTAAGAGGGCCAGTGATGAAGTCTTGGTAAACAGAAGAATAGTCAAAGTTCGCAGAAATCAAACCACAGCCACTGCCTCCTCAAATCCCTTTTCTGGGATCCGATTGGTCCCCCCTGCAGAACCAACCATTAGTCCTGCTGCACCTAGTGGACCCCCTGAATACCAAGCAACCACTGCCGAGGATACCACCGAAGCAGCAATTGTGGATCAGAAAGAAGGTTCAGAAGATGGAAAAAATGATGTTAACAAATCTGAAAAGAATGAAGAGGGAAATAATCAGCAGTCAAAGAAAACCGATGAAAAGGATCCTGGCTCTGTAAAGAGTGAAATCGACAATGTTGAACAGTCCAAAAGTAAGGAAGAACCAGTTTCCAGAGATGTTGCTGATAAGGAAAATACTGATGATAAGGGCAGTGCTGTTGTAAATGAAGAAACTCGAGAGGAGGCCAATGATGAAAAATCGGCAGGAGATGCTAAGACCAAGGATGTAGATAAGAAAGATGATGAGACTGGAAATGCAGACAACGAAGGTAAGAGTAGTAAAAATACAGATGCAACTGCAGAAGGAGCATCATTGAGTTCATTCCAACTGCTTTCAAGTAGCCCGAATGCCTTCACTGGACTTACTGGCACTGGATTTTCGACTTCTTCATTCTCCTTTGGATCTATTTCAAAGGATGGTTCTACTAGTTCTGTTCCGCTCTTTGGACTGAGACATGACAAGCCTTTTGGTTTTGGTCTTTCAACAAACGGGAACTCCTCTTCCCTCTTAAACGCGTTTGGGACTTCAGTTGTTTCTAAGAGAGAGGAAAGTGGTTTTCAAGCAATGCCAGAGGTTCCAGTCGAGACTGGAGAAGAGAATGAGAAAGTGGTATTCTCAGCTGAATCTGTGCTGTTCGAATTCATAGATGGGGCATGGAAAGAGCGCGGTAAGGGAGAACTTAAGGTGAATGTGTCTACAGCCGGGACGGAAGGAGCCAGGGTACTCATGAGAGCTAGAGGAAATTACAGATTGATTCTAAACGCAAGGCTCTATCCAGATATGAAGCTAACAAATATGGACAAGAGAGGTATCACTTTTGCCTGCATGAATAGTAAAGGTGAAGAGAAAGAAGGGCTGTCTACATTTGCATTGAAGTTCAAGGATGCTTCTATAGTTGAAGAGTTTCGTGCAGCGGCAACAGCACACAAAGGCAACACAGCTGTTGTTCTGAAGACACCCGAAAATACTGCTAAAGCCTCGGAAGATTGAAAGGTGTATGCCCCGAACTCACGGTCTGCCGTAATCCCTTTTCTTTATGGAAGAAAGGATCATTTCTTGGGTATTGCTACTGATTCTTAAGATCTTATATGTAACAGAGTCAACAAGATCAACCCAGTCCATTTTCGTGCAAGAGAACCGATGAATGTTTGAACTCTTTTCGCCCCTTTTTCGTGTCAATCCTGGAGTTAAGCATGATCAAGGTATGCAACATTTGACTGTTTTTACAGAAAGCAACGCCTTTCATTTTGGATGAATATGTAGAATTTCAGTACCATGTATTTCATATGTACCTGAGGGATTTGTTATTGGTAATAGATCCTCTATAGTACCAAAAACAGACCTTAGCAGTATCTCTCTTTTGGACAATGGTATGTACTGCAATATTACTATTTTGATCATGGATACTATTTTTTTTGTTGTTGTTGCAATTTTTAACTTGCTTTACAATTATTGCGTAATTTGAGTTGTACCGTTATGCCAACACTATGAATTATTATATCAACACTGTAAACTATTATATCATAGTCATAACAGTCAACATTTAATTTCATTGATTAAAGGATCAAAGACCAAATTCATTTTTTCCTCAGTTAAGAGTCACATGGATTATATTGATTTTTTTAGAAAAGTTTGAGGGTCTTAAGTACCATTAAATCTATAAAAGTTCTCAAATAATTTTATTTTATTTTAATTTAATCAATTAAATCTTGCCACGCCAATTATTGGCAGTATGTTGAATCAACGTTTTCTGTAATTTCAGGGATTAACTGATTATGAGTATTCAAATAGGGGTTTCAGTTGATACAATTCTTTGAACAGGAAATCAATTGGTTTTCAATTATTGGTCATTGATTTCAAAAAATATAAGATATAGTCACTTTAGTTTTTATTTAATTAAGATGTGGTCACCCCGAGTTATCTGCGTTAGTAGCAGTTAAATATTTTGATATAATCACACATTTGATTCATTTTATTTACATATTCTATCAATTTAGTCACACTTTTAATAAATTTAAATAAATTTAATCCTTTAATCAAATGATGTCATATGTCATGCCACATGTCATCATGTATCCGACCATTAAGCCAAGACCATTGCATGGTCTAAATAGGCAACATGGTGTATATATTTTGTACCTTTGTATATAAATGTTTTAATTCGTAATATTTTATATATATTAACTTAAAAAATATTTTCCTTATTAACTTATTAAATATGTTTTATTGTTAACATAATTTAAAAATATTTTATTTTATTTTTATTTAAAATTATATATTTTATGTTAAAATTTATTTAAAAGTAAAGTAAATTACACGCTTACTCACTGAACTTTACTCTCTCTCCTATTTCACTCACCGTACTTTCAATTTTTTCAATTTGCTTACTAAACTTTGACATTGAATTTTTTTGCTCACTCGAAGATGATGTGGATTATTTTATTATTTTTCTTATATGACATGTCATATTTTATTAATATTTTTAATACCAAATATGAATAAAATAAAAATAAAATTGAAAAATTATAATTATACCCTTAAATTATACCTAAATTTTCAAATTGTATCATAAACTCTAACCCCAAACTACAACACCACCCACCATCACCCTTGACAAGTTCACCTTTCCACCGACGATTACCCTCCCACTGACAAATGGTCACCTCTGCTCCTCACTCTCTTGTTCATCTCTCACGACCCTCAACCATGGCATTCCCTAAAAATGATAGCAACCAATCAACACAACCTAAATGGTTATCCCTTGTTCCCATATGTAATGGGTTAGGGGGAGGTAAGATAGTAGGCTGCCCCCAACACCAGGTTGAGAGCAGCTTCCGTAGAAGACCTCCGAATTATGAAATACCCTCCGTGGGACTCGATCCCACGACCTCAAGGTTAAGAACCTTATGCTCTACCAAGTGAGCTGAATAGTCATCTCAATCAACACAAATGATAACAACCATGGCAGTGTTGCCAAAACTTAAAAAATGAAGAAGCAAGGAATCAACCATTTAGCAAAAAAATCAAAAAGAGAAAATAGAGATCTTTACCTTCGGGTTTTCAAAAGGCGTGGCTCTGGTAATAGGACGACAGATCCGAACGGTGAGAAATGTCGCTATGACAGAGGGACCAACATATCTCAATTTGGGCTCCATCTAACGGTTGTCAATGGATATTAGAAAGAGGGAAGTCAGATTATTTCAATACAAATTCGTTAACATCGGGGCATTTTTCAACAAAACTAAGGGTGGATTCGCGTTCATGAGGTAAAAAATGTTTGGACTGTAAAGTTTGAAGCTCAACGATCATCGAAGACCACCGGAACAGCTGCCACCGACGGTTCTAACTGCTATGGTTGAAGCATGAATGTGATGGGTGAGAATTTTAGTTTTAGGGTTTGGGTATAGTTTAATATTTTTAATTTTTTTATTATAACCCTAAATAATATTAAAATACTAATAAAAAATATAACATGTCATATGATAAAATAATAAAATAATCCATGTCATTAATAAGTGAGCAAAAAAATTCAATGTCTAAAGTTTAATGACTAAATTGAAAAAATTAAAAGTAAGGTGAGTGAAATAGGAGAGAAAGTAAAGTCCAGTGAGTAAGCATGTAATTTACCCTTAAAAGTATGACTAAATTGAGAAAATATATAAACAACAGGGACCAAATATGTGATTATACCAATTATCACAACACATATTCTATTAATTGTTAACAACAATTAATCCAATCTAATTTCATATCTTAATTAAATAAAAACGAAAGTGACTGTATCATATGTTTTTGAAATTAGTGACCAAAAATAGATAAAACACAAACATAAGTGATCATTCTTATAGTTAACCCAATCTAAATTGATATGACAATGTGGGAAACATGATCTCACAGTCGCATCAGGATCAAACTCATGAATATCCAAAAATACCCTTATACTTTCCACGTAACCCCAAGCCCAAATACTGAAACAAAATTAAAGCCGTATCTCATCACTCTGCAATCTCCAATTCAATTTTATCCAAAAAGCTATTTCTTCCTGAAAATCGCATCTTACCTAGATCCTATCCTATGAAAATATAAATTAAGAAATAATCTTTAAGTTTTTTTTCCGATTTCAAGCTCCTAGGGTTCTGATCCTCTTCGAGTTTTTAGGCGATTGGTTTTTTAATGTTGTTTTTCGCTTCGTGATAATGTTTTTTTAAGTTTTAGCGGCTTTGGTTATACGAGGAAGTGATGGCTACAGCTGGAGAAGAAGAGATGGAGTACGAGAGTGATACAGAGGAGGTGAAGCGTTCGCTGGCGATGCGGAGGAGAAAGGCGGCGAGTGATGATGAGGAAGGCGAGAGAGAAGTGGATGATAATAATAATCGTAATGCCGCGATAATGGATCGGAGTGTTGTGGTTCCCTCCGATGAATCCGACGGTCAGGTTGGTGCTGCTGATTTTTATGATGAGGAAGAAGAATTGGAGGAGGAGAATGAAGAGTATTATGATGAAGAGGAGATTGACGAGGAGGAGATAGAAATAGTAAGAGGGGAAGTGGAGAGAACTGGAGGAGAAGCAGTGATGGATGATGGGAATAGGAATGTGGCTGAGAGAGTGGAGATTAGTAATAGTAATAATCATGTGGGAGAGGAAGATGAAGAAGGAAAGAAGGAGAATGAGCCATTTGCTGTGCCAACTACTGGGTCGTTTTATATGCACGATGATAGATTTCGAGACAATGTTGGCGGTCGTCATAGGTATTCAGTTTTAGTTTAGTTTTTTGTTTTTTGCTTTTCTAGGTGTAAATTGATATGCTAATTCATAATGTTGATAGCTATTTTAGGATTAATTAGCAATTTATAGAGAAGTACGTGGCGCTTTTCTATAGGACGTTTGCATATACCTATTTTTACACGTAATGGTTGAAACTGGAATGCTCCCTTGCCACACCATGTACTTCACTTTGCAGACAGTAGAAGCCATATATACTTCTTTTATATGTACTTTTAAGTGGGTTCATTTAGACAACCAGTGTGCTTATCAGGTTTTTGACGCCTATGACGCCCATGTTCTATATGCAGCTGTTTTATGCTTTGTTATCTTGAACCTTGAATTATTCCGTGATTTGTTGGGTACAAGGAAATATAAGGTTGTAATGAGCATGAGAGCTGAGCTTACTCTTCTAGCCATTTATGACTGATGATAAATTTAAGTACGTAATTTTAGCAGTTGAGCTTTGGATGAGGTGTGGCAACATGAAATGCGATAATACTCTAGGTTAATGTTAAACTACTAGGCCTACATCCCAGATACTTTCCTATTCATTTTAAGACCTTAAAAGTTAAAAGCTACCGTATTTGATCCAGGCATGAGCTAGTTGTAAAGACCTTTATTGTAAACCACTGACTGGCCCAATGTCAGAGAAACTGTAATCTGATTTGGTTAAATGCTACGTCATGCTCAGCATATTTGATGACATTTTAATAGCTTATAAGTTATGATTACTACATCTTGACTTTGTTTGCTTATGAGTAGGGAAAAGTAACTTTTAATTCTTAACATGAATTTCATCTATAGTGTAAATACCGTGACAACTATGCAAAATTCTAACAGGATTAGGCTTTTATATCTCCAAATATTTATTTTTGTCGTTATTTTCTAATGCATTTATCATTGTTGTATGGGTATTCGCATGTGTAAAGACTAATTATGATATAGTTTTGTGTGCATATTTTGTAAATATTGGCCTTCTTATCCAATTATTGACGTATCAATCGGACTGTTGAACTAACAACTTAACAATTTCACTATGGTTGCTTAATAGTGGTTCAGATTTAATCTTTTACGGGTTCTTCTCCCTTTTCCATTTAAGTTATATAAATGTTTAGTTTGCGAGGGTGTTCCTTTTCACACATGGAATTGGAATACTTTCAAGAACATTGCTGATAAGTGGGGTTTATTACTAGCTATCGACGAAAGTTGTCATTCTCCATCATCCTTTGATCGGGCAAAAATTCAAGTCCTCACAAAGGCTGATGCGAGAATTGATGCGATGGTGGAATTGAAGGTTGGTGACAACTTCTTCAAGGTCATGGTGCATGAGATAGAGCCTTCATTCAAACCAAACTCTTGGGCTCCTGAAGAAGACGAGTCTCATTAGATCTTGTTTCTTCAATTGTGGTTTTGTTTTAGTTCATATGGCTGTAGGTGTTGCTTTTAATTTGCATTATGTTCTGTTGCACTATTTTATTCCTACTGCTGGTGGTGTAATTAGAAGTAAGGTGATTAGACTGTGGCTTTGTATGAGGTTATATGAGGTTAAGGTGTTTGTTGTAATGGTGTTCATCACCATGAGAGGATATTCCGTGGTGTCTTTTGTATCGGGTATTATTATCAATAAAATTTGAGGTACTCTTTTCTTCCTTCCAATGTTCGTTAACATACTTTAAGTATGTGAACGAATAAGAAGGGAGTTTTTAATGAGACCTCCAACTTCTATAAAAAAAAAAGTTATATAAATGTCCTGAATTTTGTATTAATATGTTTTGCGCGCTTTAGGCGAATGCGTGGTGGAAGGAATTTGTGGGAATCCAAAAATGATAGGAAATGGGGACATGACAAGTTTGAGGAGATGACTTTGCAAGAAAAGCAGTATAAAGAAGTAAAGGCTTTGTACATATTCAACTTGCAGGATTAGTGTTTCTTTTCCTAATCTCATTTGATTCTTTTCTTTTCCCTACTGATATGTTTTGTTTTCCGTATTCAGGGAAGAGCTTCTAGAGGTAGATATCGTGTTCGTAGTAAAAACCGGGTTCCAAGTCATGGTTATCCTAGGGAAAGTAGGCCTAGAGCATTTGGGAAAAGCTACAATCAAAATCAGGCTCCTAAGGCTGTGAGGGGGAGAGGATCTAGGAGATATGAACCTTCTATGAAAAACAGCAGTCAAGCACCTCCAGTGCTGAACAAACTGTGAGTATTAATATGCATCTTTCTTTCTTTTTTTCATTTTTCTAATCTTCTTACCTGGATTAAGTTTGCATGACATTGAATGATTTAAATAATTCAGTTCTGGGAAGACTGTTGAGAAAATTTCACAAGCCAATTCAAGTAGAGGTTTCACACCTGCAACAAATGCAAACACTGTATCAAATCCTGCTAAGAAACATATTTTTGCATCAAGCTTGAGTTCAGCTTCCCCACCCTTTTATCCATCAGGATCTTCCAAGAAAAACATTTCCTTTCAGAAGAAGGATGTTCAAGCTGGAAGTGTCAGCAAGGATCTTCACCAGTCTGTTACAAATAAGATCTTTTCTGTATTTCAATCCAATTCATTACAAGGGAAGAATGCCCATGATTCTCTCAGCATGGCAAAGCTTTATATAGATGATTCCACTACATCAGCTTCTGTGAAGCCATTGACCAACGTGCAAATGCTACCTTCTGGTTCTTCATTGGATAATAGTAGTCAACCCTCTCAATCTAGGGTACAGGATAGAGACATAGATATCCCACCACAGCACAACCAAGTCAACAGAGCTTCTCCACCAGCACAGGTCAATGCTGTTCAGAGAATTCCTGTACAAGGCAGGGGTTACTTTTCTGTTCAAGCAGCTGCTCAGCAGTTGGGCCAGCATCCTGGTATTGGGTCTCGAGCTTCATCTCCGCCAGAAACATCTATGTCAGTCAGTTCCTATGAATCTGGAGAGGTTGAATCTTCAGACACAAGTAAACCTGACAGTGCATTGGCGAGCAAGGGAAAAAACAGTCTTCTAGGAGCTGGAAGGGGCTCTTATCTGTATGGTGGAGCTCAGATTATTGGAACTACAGGGAATATGTCTATAAGCCATGGTGATCAAAACTTTCCTGCCTTTTTGCCTGGTAAAGCATTTCATTTTTTTAACCTTCAATTTGTCTTGATAACATAATCAACCATAGAAGGTAAAATGTGAAATGGGGGAAGTTCCTTACCTGGAGTGGTGCATAATAATTCCTTGGTCCCAACTGTTAGTTGGAATTTTTTATGAATTAAATCAAATATTTTAGTAAATATCGGAGGTAGTTTTTATCTGAATATTTTAATGGCCTTATGGTTAAGACTGGATGGAGTTTTAATTCCTTAAATGTTGTTTTGATTAGGGATATGCTTTTTCTGGGGTGGTTTGAGGTTGAAGTTTGAGTATATTTGTATCTAAAATCGATACTATGTGGTGTTTGGGAATAGCTTTTATCTACTTAGTTGCATAGATTTACTTATATTATTCTATTTTTACTCTCGACTAATCTCTTCTTTCTTAATTCCTTCTATTAAACTTATCTATAACCTCAATTTATTCTACTTTTCCTGAATGGTTGGCATGCAGTTATGCAGTTTGGGGACCAGCACTCCAGTGGCCTTAGTGTTCCTGCTGTTGGCATGGCATTTCCGGGATATGTTGCCCAGCCACAACTTGGAATGAGAAATTCAGAAATGACATGGTATAGTAATTTTTTTCTGTAGAAAAGTTGCTTCTGTGGATTATATCTAGTTTCCGTAGACAAATAAGGGTGATGTATCAGTCAGGTCTTGCACTGGGCAATTGATTGTCGTATGGAGGTAGTTACCTCTCCAATATGAAACATAACTTGGGAATTATTAGTTAGTGTTTCAGACTCCCCATAGCTACCAGATAAGCCTTTTGTGGTCAATCACATTGAGCATGGACTTTTGTTTGAATATTAATGCAAAGTTAAGTCTATCTTGAAGGTTTATTCAGATTCTTGTTATTCTGATTTATTCATCTGTTTAAGCCAAGTGCAGTAATTATTTTCATTTTTCTTGTTTAGGCTACCGGTACTAACTGGTGCTGCTGGCGCACTAGGAACAACATATTGTCCACCTTATTTTGCTTTCGATGGGGCTTATAATACTCGTTCATCGGGGCAGACTTCTACAACAGGATCCTCAGGGTTAGTATCAGAGTTTGGGTTTCCTCAACCTGCTTGATTTAAATAGCCTTGGTTACCACTGTTTTCCTTCTGCTTGCCAGTGTGGGAATGGGAATATCGACTTTGTTTGGAATGTCTTTTTGTTATCAGTCTTGCAGGTTAACATCTGGTTGGAATGTCTTTTCAAGATGCACATTTAATTAGGATTAAGACGTGTTTAAGTTCAGTTGAATGCGTTTTTGTTATTTGCATGGTTGTGTTTATTCAATCTAACCTATATCTTTGTAGAAATCTCATCGATATAGTTGGTGTGAGATGCCTGGTCTTTTGGAGGATCATAGTATTGTCGCTTTACACTGAGCCATTGGCCTTTTTACATGGATTGACTTCTAAACAGATAATAATTGTTCAAACATATTTTAAAGGAGTCTTTATTGGTTTGATTTTCATGTTACTTTATCTTCGTAATGGTCACCGATGTTTCCTTTAATATTGCAATATTTCTATCGGTAGATTGTTTAATGATAAAAGTCTTGTATCCTTATCTATAGATGTTTATAATTGACCTTAAGGGCAATGTCTCAGACCTTTTCTTTTCCATATTCTTAGGGTTTGTGTGAGGGAGAGTAAGGCAAAATAACTAATGAAATCTAAAGATGCTGGCAGTGTAACTGGTTATGTATTTACAAATCATTTGTGGTATTTTTTGTTGCTTGCTGATTTTAAAAATATTTAATCACCCTTCTTTTGCAGCAAAGAAAATACTTCTAACAAACCAAATAATGAATGGAAGCCTTCCCCGAAACCCGGTAAGGGAATTTCTGATCATAAACCTGTCCCATTTCATATGCATTGGCTGTTAAACAAGTCCTATGCAGAGCTTGCGAGTGATGAACTTGGACAACAACAAAATAACCCAAATAAGCAGTCTCGCAGGCAAGTTGAAACTCATAAGCTGTTTCTTTTGACCAGTTCAGGAAAAAAAATTCCCATCTATTTCTATCATCTGCTATAAGTAAGTGAATTTATTTGCTTATCCTTCATTTCCATGCAGATATTCAGAGATGAGCTTTAGCAAGTGATTGATTATTTAAGATGGAGCCTGCCTCTGTAAACTGATAAAGGTAAAAAATGTGCAATGAAAGCTTTTACTACTTTTGTGGATGTTTGGAATTTTCTTATTTGTGGATTACTTGGCAGTGCAGACCTTTCTTCGAGCCCTGTTGTTCGTGCATTTAGGTGGGTTTTAGTGCATTTTTGTGCTTAAATGAGTTCAGAATTAGTATTTTATCTGTGCTTATTTTTTTCCTTTCTCATTAATTGGAGCTGTCCTTGTTCCTTCAATCATTCTAAACCCTAAATCCTAAACCTCTCTCATATTGTGGCAGTTGTGTATGGGAAATGCCTGCTCAGGCTACTTCAGTTTGAGAATATTATTGTGGCTTGACAGGTGGCATTCCCATGTTTAGTGTGCGGTATGAATACATATATTAGAGAAGCTAATCTTTTTCTTAGTTACAATGCCAAATTTCCTAAAATTGCTTTTATTGTTTCATAAACGGTTTTTTTTTCCTTTTCTAGTGGATTGATTTTGTAATGAAGCTTATGAGAAATTTAGGCAGGCTTCTCCATAAAAGTATGAGCAAGAAATGACGTTTGCATTGATGGTGATGGTGTTCTTATTTCTCTTCGGTGAGCATACGTAAGTGGTTGCCTCTGGTTTTTGAGAGTAGATTATCAAATATTTTTCTTGTTTTCATTTCAAGGCCGGTTATTGAGAGTGTGATCCTGCTTTCATGTGGATTCGTTAGTTTAATCAGTGTATTTGGTTATATGTAATTTGTGTAGCACTCAACCTTAAATATTATTGATTTCACCATCTAAGGTCCCTGCTTAACCTTAGGGTTTTTATTTGTTTTGGAGCATTTATGATAGTATTTTTTTTAATTAAAGAACAAGTGTTCAAATTATATATTTTTATATTTGTTTTAGGTATCTAATTTTTCTTTATTAAAGTGTCTAACATTTATTCTGTTATCATTTAAGGTACATGTCCATTAACAGGCACTTAAAATAAATAGGCTCGCGTAAACTTTAATTACTCAACTTGCGTGACAAATAATTTTCTTAAATTCAATTATAATATTAAATTATAGACTAAAAATATAATATTCTTTCTCAATGAAATGCCTAAACTACCCAGATCTATGTTCATCCAAAGATCGGAAAAATTTGAACTCATATCTTCTTAAATTTTATACATACGGAGTAACAATTATATCAATTGATTTATTAATCTTAGTTTTCTCTCTCTTCCTTTCATTTATTGGCTGATGTCGGCATTAATTTTGTCGTTGGTCTGGGACCGATGATATTTATTGTTTTTATTTTTTATTTTTTTATATTGTGTTTTTATTTTTTATTTTTTTTAATAATTTTTTATGGTATATTTTTTATACATTTGATAGTATTTCAGTTTTTTTATCGGTTGTTTTGCTTATTATTTTTGTTTAATTTTTTATAGTTGGATTTGATGTAGCCTCGACAGATCAAGATGGTTCTTATTTGTTATTATGATGATATTTCTTAATTTGGACCATCAAATTGGATTTGGTTATGCTATTTGCATTCGGGTATAGTTTTTCATGACGCTCAATTCTGATTTGCGATTGTCTGTGGTCTTCTAATAGTTTGATCCTCTGTTGTGATTCGTTTATCGATGCAGTAAGATATATTCGTATTTGATATAGATTCCTATCATTTCTTTCAATAGTTTGATCATCTGTTGTGATTCGTTTATCGATGCAGTAAGATATATTCGTATTTGATATAGATTCCTCTCATTTCTTTTTCTTGACTTGTAAAAAGTGTCATAGTTGCTTGTGAAATTGTGAGATGAACCCAGCAACACGTTTTTCTTACAGCATTTCATAATCCAAAGACCACGCCGCTTGCTCAAGTCTTTCCCTTTATGCAACCTTGATTAATGCCTTCAATAATTTTTTTCATATATTAAAAGCCTTATTTTTTTTCAGATTTAATCACCATAGCAAGACGATATCGGTTTAAGTCTCTACACAATAAAGTTCAACTTCTTAATAATATGGTGACATAAAATTTATAAAACACACACACACAATTGACTAAATAAACATGAAGAAACTCAAATCGGTATTGTCTTACTATATCGCATGCTTCTGAAAAAAAACATTAGTTTAATACAAACAATATTCATTAATCACATGAAAGAAGTCCATAAATTATTATTGTAGCACTGCAAGACTTTTATTGAAAATATATTTGGAAAAAGATTAAAAGAAACCATAAAAATTAATCGAAGACTTATTTGTCAAAAATATATGTCATTTGCGTATACAAAATATATTTTTTCCTTCAAAATATTATGAATAATTTTGAAATATATTATTGGTACGCATGGTCACATTCTAAAGTCACTAATGAAGTTTTTTTTCCACTTGTGGTGTATACGATAATTGTTTATAATGTATTATAATTTTTATTATGAAAAAACTAAAATCAGCAAAAATATTATTTTTAAAAAATGATGAAAATGATTTTATTTGGGAGAGCATAAGGCTTGTAATTTATGAAGTGAGAGTGCAAAATGATTTAAGGCATAGATTAAGGTTTGATAAAAGGTTTGTGGGAGTTGAGCAAGTAGGGTTTGAATTTGGAAATATGAAGCAGGAATAACGTGTTGCTGGGTTCTTCATCCGGACAACTTGCAATCAATTATGACACTTTTTACAAGTCAAGAAAATGAAGTGAGAAAAAGAAATGAGTAATATATTTTTGGCAATAAGGCATCATATGTTTTTATACTTTCGAAAAAGAAGAATTGATCTGATTATCATATTATTATTTTTTTAATTAAATCCTTCAATTCAGAAAATAAATTTAATGTGATTCTTTAGTCAATATTTTTTTATTTGACTGTCAAAGTGTTGATGTGACCGTTCACAGTGTTGACATAATGATCTACAGTACTGACATGATAGTCTATTTACCATGTTTGAGTAACAAATTTAACTTATCTGCCATGTCATCTGCCACATTATCAACCACCGTGGACTGTCATGTTAATATTGTGAACTTTCACATTAGAACTGTAACGGTCAATGACAAAAAACGTTGGTCAAAGATCACATTGAATTTATTTTATGAATTATAAAACCAAACAAAAATAATAATACAATACCCACAATAATTTTTTTAAAAATACAAAAACATCGTACGTATTTTTGCTTAAACTTTAAAAAAGTGTATGTTTCACTGTCATCAGTGTCATTTTAATCCCTACGCTTTTTTTCCCTTGACAGTAACAACTCTAAATTTCATTGGTTAAAAAAGCCATAAAAGTCTATCCAATATATTTGGGAGTTGAAGTTTTTAGATTTTATAATTAAAGTTAAAAAGTTGCATGTATTTTATTTATAATTTTTAATATATATGTTGTGTAAAATTTATTTTATAGACTTTATCTATTTTAATATCATTTATTTTATTTTGGATTCTGATTCTGATTTAGGATAAAATAAACAGATTATGTTTATAAGTATATCAAAAAATAATTTTATTTGTAAAATATAAAATCAATAAATGTATATATAAATTATAAAAGAAAGGAAATTATCTTATAGATAGGCCATGTAAAATCTAATTTACATAATTATATCTATTCTAATTTGAGTGTCTTATATGTGGTTATTTAGACGTTAGTATTTATAATTTAATAGTTAGACTCTAAGATTTATGATTTAAAATTTAAAATTTTCAGGTTTCATTAAGAAATAAACATAATTGTATAAACTTAATTTTATATATTTTGTATATTAAATAATTTCCACATATTTTATTATTGCAATGACATAAATAAAATAGTTGTCTATATGAATCTACTGAGTAATCTTAGTGATAAAATAAAATATTGTACTTTTTAAAAGATTTAAGTTCGAATAGTTATATCTACAAGATATACGTATTAATAATTAGTTTTAAAAAATAAATTGATATTATCTTGTAAACATTTAAACTATAAAAAATAATTATATGTACACTAGTTAAAAGTACATATAATTTAAAAAATAAATTACTTCCCATTACAGACGAACATATGAAGACTGCATATGAAGACTGTTCAACTATGTATTTATTTATACATGCATTTTGCATTTTATCTTTATTTTTAATTTTCTGACTGCCGGAGGTCTTCCACGGAAGCTGCTCTCAATCCTGGCGTTGGGGGAACCTACCACCCTACCTCCCCATATCCCATTACATATGAGAATAGGGTTTTGTTGTTGTTGTTGTAACCGAAGACTTGTTGAGCGTAGGGCTGTAAATGAGACGAGACATATCGTGAGCTACTCGAGATCAACTCGATCAATGCTCGATAAATACTCGGATCGAATGGACTCGACTCGAGCTCGAGCTCGACTCGAATTCTTAACGAGCCGAAACGAGCTACTTGATACTCGACTCGAAAAGCTCGTGAGCAGCTCGAAAATATAATATACAAGATTATATTTAAAAAAAATTATTAAAAATATTAATATTTATGTATTGATTTTTTTAAAGAGAATACATTAAGATTTTCATGCATTTAAGGTTCAGGTTCGAGTTTGAGGCTTCAATCGAGTTAAGTTTAAGAATTTTTTTCTTCATTTCGAGCCTTTTCGAGCTGCTCACGAGCTTCAGTTCAGGATTTCGAGTTCGAGTCGAGCTTGAAAATTTTAAACTCGCGAGTTTTCGAGTCGAGTCGAGCTTAATTTTAAAATTTTCGAGTCGAGTCGAGCTCAGCAATACTCGAGCTCGACTCGGCTTGTTTACACCCCTAGTTGAGCGTTTGAGCCAACAATTGTGAAAGGAGCAAGTACTTGTGACTTTGTATTAACACAACTTTAACTCTTATAGAGGCATCCTCTACCCCAATTTATGAAATATTAAAAAAATCACGTTAAGCACAAATTAAGTGACTTTAATGATTAAAAGAATGGTTGTTTTCACTAGAGGTTTCATGTTCGAACATTAATGATTGTAGGATATTCTAATATTCATTATTGTATAAATGTGAGTCTTTTGAATATATAATATCACTTTTAAGTATTTTAAATTAATAATAAAATGATGTTAAAATATCTTATGCCATTTCCGAATATACCTCCACACATGATAATAGAACCAGCAAAATTGTTACGATCATATAAATATAATGAAGATTATTAGTAGTATTAAACAAGCTCTACTTAAAACCATGGATGGTTTTGCTTTAAAGGGCAAAACGAGGTGAGAAGAAATCCAGGTGCCCGACTGATTTCCCCCAAATGGACACTGCAATAGATTTTTTGAACTAATTCAGCTACTTTAGTAGTAATTTTCTTTTTTACTTTTTAAAGTGATACGTTACACAATGACGTTGGCGCCCAGATCTCCACTCTTCTCATCCTATTCTAATATCTTTCCGCTTTTTCTCCGAGATGGTGCTGATTTCGAAGAGAAAACGACATTCGTATTCATTACCTTATCCTATTAGCCTTGACTAAGTTGTGGCACACACTCCATCCGAACTCGAATTCACAATCAACCTCATCCCGCAAATGGGAAAATAAACCCCCCGTGCTTCATCTGTTCATTATGTTACAAGTAGGAGACTAGAACCTTAATATCCGAACTGATTTATAACTCTAAATAACAACCGGATTGAACATGACCCGAGTGTTCGTCCGTCGATTTTATTCTTGTCCACGTGTAACTTTGTAAATTCAACACGTAAGCGGTGTGGGGCTCACCGAAGTTGGAGGAACCAATAACCAACAGTTTGTCTTCCCGTGCGGCTACAAGAGCCGTATTGCATACCTCACCCGGTAGCCCGGCCACCGGTTTCCATGTATCGGCTTCGAGTTTTGCCACGTCACCTCCTTGGCACATGTATAGTGATCCGTCGGCTACCGTGCAAGAACTAGGACACGTGGCGAGAGATAAGAGGTTCTCTTGAAGTGGGCTCCACTGCCATGTGGCAACGTCGAACAGCTCGGCACTTCTCTCGAATTCGCCTTGCCTATCTGTACAATACCCGCCGATGACGTGGAACTTTCCGAGGTGGAATATCCCCTTGCATTCGTCACGTTCTCTATCCATATCGGGCAATTGGACCCACTTGTTAGTGTCCACGTCATACGCCATCACCGATCTCAACGCGTTTTTGTCGCCGTCATGTCCTCCGGCAACGAACACCATTCGATCCGAATCCGACGCGCATCCGAAGAAGACCCGCTTCACGCCCGGCATGTTGGCCCCGCGCCGCCAAGTGGCCGATAGAAAATTATACACATACACCTCGTCGCGGACATCAAAAGTATCCGGATCCAACCCACCCATCACCACAACGTTTAACCCGACTCCAACAACCTGACAAAACACCGGCAACCCATAGGAACACCCCGGAACCGGAGGCATCTCCCACCAGTCACCGGTATCGGGCTCGAAAACCACGACCCGATAAAGAGGCAAAGCCTGGCATTTCAAACCGGAATCTCTATCCGGGTCGACTCGGGATTGAGTCATAACCACCACATGTTTACTACACCCGGCGGCTCTTCGGTGACGGAAAAACTCAGGCAAATGAATTTCGAGCTTCCAGTCTTTACAGGTAAATGCAATATTGGAGAAATCATTGTATGGGACACGAACTAAACATTCGCGGGCAATATCATTAGGAAGACCGGGTATAAGCTCCATGACAAGAGAAATGGAATGAAAATCTTTGTTTGGGAGAAAAGAAAAGATGGTTTTTTTTTCCTAGAGAGTAAAGGATTGAGAGGTTAATATATAGGGAAGGTGGATGAGTACAAGTTGAAGAAGAAGAAGAAGAAGATAAAGTGAAGACAGGAACAGAATAGATTATGGGGAACCACTGGATGATTGGACGTTTGTTTTGTTGTGCCACTTTTAGTGTCGCTGGTTTCCTGTTTTTGTTGTTTTATTGGAGTTTTGCATAAGTTGTATTGTTAGAGTAGTACTCCATTTTATATTGGCTTCCGTGCTGTTGAATATCGTTTATTAACAAGCTACTAACTGGGGATATATATAACTTTTGGGTAAACTACAATATTAATCACTATATTTTTACTTTTCTAACAAAAGCATCATTGTTATATTTTCTATATTTCGATCTTTTAAAGTATTTTTTTACTCTCAATTTTTTTTTTTACTTTTGGCATATATATTAGTTTTAAAATTTTATTCAAACTAATAAAGTGATGATACACATAATTATTTTATTAAAAAATAAATTAAATAATTAAGATAGAGGAGACCAAAACTTAATTGTCACAGAAGAATAAGAAAAAGAAATTATGCTACTATAGATCGGAGGAGATCTGAACCCAAAACCTCTTTTGTTTGATTTGGTTCATTTTCTTGCTCTTGCTTGAGAATTATTTTCTGCGCAATCTTTTCAATAATTCAAGTGCAAACCAATAAATTGAATCCCATCAATTTTAAACCACCCCTCCTTTGCTTGGGATAATCTGAAAATTTATTTAACACACATCTGATCGAGAAAGGAAAAACCTATCATAATTTTATACTCGGAATTTTTTTAGATAAAATAAATTATCAATGATGATTACAAGATAACATTCGTTCATAATTTTTCTTAATTATTAATAATGTGTACACAATGTAAGTACAATCGTTTCAACCCGAGACATCTAAGAATAACAACACTCATTTTAACCCCTAAAGTTATTTATTTCCAATTTTTTATTCTCTTAGTCAATCCCAGTTTTCACCTAATGAAAAATAAAAATGTCGATATTTTATCCTATTGTTTACAATAAAACTTTAATTAATGTATAAAATATTAATTAAATAATCAATTATTTCGTTAAATACTATATTGTCACTAGTAATGATATGTTAACAAAAAAAAATTAAAAATGGCAAGTACATTTATTTGAAACATTCCGTAAACGATGGGAACAAAAGTAGTTATACTGTTCAACATGCTAGTTGGAAACACATGCAATAATTGATATCTTTCTGTTCACACTTGGATGACGAAGGGAAAGAGATAAACATCACTTAAATGGATAAGAATTATTTCGCGCAATTGGGCTTTCGAAAATTGTTTTGTAAAGTATCAAGCACATTATTATATTTTAAATTTTTATATAAGTTTTAAATTTAATCTTAATCTATTCTTGAGGGAGAGAGAATGTGGCATTAAGAGAAAAATGAGTACTCTTAATAGGTTTAGAAATTACGACTTAAGAAAATATGAGCAAAAAGAAAATGAACAATTTGAACAACCAGAGGTAAATAACTTTCGGTTCTTAAAGATCATCATAAATTTTCACATGGAACAATATTGTCCACAACAGATATCACTACTAGATCTACAAGTAATGCACAACATACATATATGGAATAAGAGAGAGAGATCCTGGGAACTAGTGTCTAGTGATCAGTTCATCAAAGTATGCTAAACTTACTTTGCAACCCGGTTTCATGGTCGGTAAACAACAATTACGACCATCTCAAAACCTGGCGGCCTGTTCAATCAGTTCTTTGTACTCATCTCATACAAACGACTTCACTTTGAGACCATCACCCTTATTCGGAGATTCATACTTTATCCTGATTACGGTTGCCAAACCTGTACAAAGACAAGGCCTCTCATTGCAGATCAAATTGAAAAATAGCCATGCTTGGACATTGTGTCTGAGGCCAAATGAAGGGATTTACTATATGACATAGTTTCTTATTGGTAGTCTGGTAGAACTCAGTTTGACATAAGGTGTGTTACAAATTAGAATACATAAAACTAAAACAAACTCTTGAAGTAAACATCCGCCTTTAAATAACAGTTTCGGTGAAATTAGCAATTCTTCAGAAAGCACGGCAGTTGATATTTTAATTTATAACGGCATAATGAACTCCTAGCATAGTGAAAAAACATGAGGGAAGGTACTCACTTGTATGTACGCGTCCATATAAGAATCTTTCACCTTTCCAGAATTCCAAAGGTCTTGACCCGATCCTTCTTTGTCTACTCCCTTCTGCATTCAATGTTGTACCGGAACCTAGAAAGAAAGAACTCAGCTATTCATTCCAACAGAATTACCAAAGAGTTTTAAAGATGCAAGTTGAGCTTTTAGTATTATTAACACCTGCAAGGCTTTGTCTTCCAGAAACTGCTTTCTCCTTTGGTTCATTGCAAGGCAGTGGTTTTATTTTGGCCTTTTTATTCTGTTGCTAAATAACCAAATTTAAAATTAGAAATGAAAAAACAGATAAACTTGGGAAATTTTCAAAATAACGGAAATAAACCGTAAAAGGCATAAATTTTACTTTTTCTTCACCAAATGGATGAAATGATTACATTCATAGGTCTATAGGCATAGACTAATAAAATCTGAAGGGATTCCAGACAGCAAACTGAAGCATGCCAAGTGGATACAAGCATCTAATAGAAACTGCCATTAATCCATAACCTTGTAACATTTTTTTATTCAAAATGCCAATCAGCCATTGCTACGTAATACAGAAGCAGCACTTTCAGTATGTGAGTTTCCTAACAAGACATGCAGATCAAATTTCGGGCTTCACTCTCGTGGTGGTTTTAAACGTTTTCAACTTTTTCTTCTTAAACCCAGAAGGAATTAACGGACCAAAACTAAGTTGAGATTCATAATGATTTGAGATAAAGATTATTCTTAAATACTATAAGTGTAGCAATCATGTAGATCTCTCAATATCTTTACAATTAACACATACTTACACAGGTGTAACTATGTAATCTCTCAATATCTTAGAAATCAACACATACTTATACAAGCGTGAGTATGTATATCTCTCAATATCTTAACAGTTAACACGTACTTATATCTGTGTAAGTAGGTACATCTCCCAATATCTTAGTACCTAAAAATAAACACACAATTATATTGGTGTAAGTATGTTTCTATATTTTTTTAAGCTACTTGCGTACAAATTTTATTGAATATATATATACATATGTATAAATTAGAGAATATAAAATTTTATTTTCTATGAACTTCCGTGTAAATATTTTGACTTTAAAATATTAAGAATTTAACTTGTTAAAAAATATATCTCAAAGACAATTTGGTAAAACATACATTTTTATTATCTTGTATTCTATCAACCAAACATTATAATCTTACATTCCTGTCAAACAAACCAAGTAAGGTAATACAACATTCCTAGTAATATGTTTTTTCTGATAAGAATTAGAGGTCTCGTTCAATCCCCTTTGTAATTGTCGAACACCAAAGAGAGATATTTAGCAAAAAAACGAAAAAAGAAAAAGAATACCTCAAAATTTTATTGAAGAAAGGGATAAAAATCACCCCAAGATTACAGACACCAAAATAAACCCTTAACAACCATAACCATAGCAAAAACAAGATACAAACACAAACTACCATATAATTAACCTATCCCCATTTTGGCTAATACGTCCGTTTCCCAATTAACACTTCTTTTAACAACCCTTATAAGGATCTCATCCCTACTGACCACCGAGGCGATCTCCTTAACGATTGGCTCATAAAGAGGAGGACACACCGAAGATTTTTTATCCCAATCTACAATGTTCCTGCAATCATATTCCAAAATCAACCGACCCTTCACACACCAGTTAGACATAGAGTAAAGAAGGAGACAAACTCTGACATCCTACAGTTCAGCCAAATCGGGGGACCTAGTCCGATGGGTTCCGAAAAGGATCCATTTATTTGGCCTCTAGTGTCCATCACTAAACCCCCAATGCCAGCCTTACACCAATCCCTATTCACAGCTCCATCCATATTCAACTTTAAGAAACTAGCAGAAGGTGGGGACCGGGACTGAAATACAACTAAGGATGGAGATATCTTCCGTATAACAGTGCAAAAATCTACTAAAGATGGATCGCCAATCAAGGAATCAATAAAAATCATAGACTGAGGGAACTTAGCCGAAAACCACGAGGCAAGGTAGAATCTCGAAAGGAAAAAGAGAGAAGGGATATCTGCAAAACCATTCTCAAAGACAACTGAATTCCTGAATTTCCATATTAACCAAACAGTAACTCCTGGAATGAAAGACCAGATGCATGATTTAGGAATAAGGGTATTCCAAGCTGATAAAAGAATCGTTAGATCCACAGGAAGTGTTGTGGAAATATTCCAGAAATGGATATAGTGATTCCAAAGATTCCATGCCACCCTGCATACAAGAAACAGATGAAAAATTGACTCAGGGAATGACCTACACAAAAGGGCACAACGGGTCCACCATGTTAGAAATTAAACTTATTTTTAATAAGGAATTAAATGGGTTTCAGTTTAATTAATTAAACTTAAGAGTTTAGTTGAGTTAATAAACTTACTTTATTAAATGATGTAAGTTTAATTGATTTTAAAAGCAACTTAAGCTTAAGTTGCCATGCATATGAAATCCTATAAATACCTATCGTAATGCACATTACGAGTGTGGAAAATAAAGAGAATCCTTTTTATAACGGTTATTCAATTACCTTTCCTTTTATTTATTATTTTGAGAGAATTCATATATTTTATTTTACAACAAAGTGGCATCAGAGTTAGATTATGGAGAAACGTTTACTTCCATTTCATTATCATCTTCTTACGAAAGACAACTATGATAGTTGGTCCATTCGTGTGAAAGCGATTATTGGATCACAAGGTGCTTGAGATATTGTTTCTAGCGGGTATGAGGTACCTGAAGACGAAACAACCTTGAATCAAGGTAAAAAAGATACTCTAGAAAAGAATGTCGGGGCCGTCTTTCGGGTGGACCCCAAATTTAGCTTCGACTTGGGTTAAATGATTAGGAGTCACCACCGATCATTTATTTTATTAAAAATGGGTTGACCGGTGTAGACACTTATTTTCGCCCGGAGTTATTTTGTTTTTTATATTTTTTATTATATATATATATATGTATATAGTAATATAGTTTGTGAAAATGTTTTTGATAAAATATAATATATAATTTTCAGAAAATGATTTTTGAAAGTTTGTATATTATATGGTTTTTGAAAATATTTTAAAATATATATAATATATAGTTTTGAAAACATTTTGAAAACATTTATATATTATATAGTTTTTAAAATATTTTGAAAACTTATATAATATATAGTTTTTAACACATTTTGAAAACATTTATATATTATATAGTTTTTAAAATATTTTGAAAACTTATATAATATATAGTTTTTAACACATTTTGAAAACTTATATAGTATATAGTTTTTTAAAATTTTTGAAAAATTATATAATATATAATTTTAAAAACATTTTTTTTTGAAAAATTATATAACATATAGTTTTAAAAACATTTTTTAAAAATTATATAATATATAATTTTAAAAAACATTTTTTTAACTTATATAATATTTTAAAATAAATTTTGAAAACTATATAATATAGTTTTGGAAATTTTTTAATATAATATATTGTTTAAAAAATGTTTTTGAAATATATATATTATATATTATATATTTTAGGATACATTATTATTATTATTTATTATTATTTATTTTTTTTTGTTTCAGGGTCCACTGTCCAGGTTCAATAGCAGTCCAACAGTTGGGGTCTGAACCAGCCCAACAAAGTTAGGGTATTCACATTCAGTTAACACAGGTGCCGCACGACCGGGAAATAAGGAGCCAAACGCGAAACGGCCGGTCGACATCCCGAGACTGACCCATCCCGGGATGACCGGCCACACATGCACGAACGACCAACAAATCCCAACCTTTTCGGGATTCACAACGGTCGGTGGGGGTTATAAAAACCCACGGCCAACATAGATCAGGGGGGACACGGCAAACATATATCATTGGCCAAAACAGAGCCAAACAACTATCAACCATACCGAGAAACGATCAACACAGCCAACATCATCGAGCCAAAAAATCACCAATCGGTCACAAAAATAGAGAACCACAGTACACCGAAAAAACACCATCACAACCAGAGATCAGTGAACCAACGAGAACAGAAACGACAAACTAAACGGCCAGAAGCCAAAACACAAACAACCCAAAAACAAAACTATCCACACTGAATCCATCACAGAACCACAACAACCACAAGAAAGCAAAAAAAACCAAAACAGTCTACAAATGCCAAAACAACCAAAGCGAAGCGACCGCAAGACCAAGCCAACGGTCACCGGAAAACCAAGGTCACCGGCTAAAAAGGGTAAAAACCGGAGCTTTGAACTTATATATACTCCGATCGGTGGGGTTTTTGGGGATATAGGCTTCGGGTTAGTGTTCATGGCGTGGAGGGGGTCATTTTGGTATTCTCATATTTATTTCGGCCTCCGCCGGAAGTGGCCGGCGCGGGGGAGAAGCCACCAGGCGGTGGCCGGCCATCGGGGCTTGGTTGGGTGAGTTGAGAGAATCTGGTAAGAGAAGAGAGATGATGATATCAGGAAATGGGGAGGAATGAAATGGTAAAGGGTGTTTTGGCCCATTTATATACGAGGGACCATTTTGCAAATATAGGATTTTAAAATCCTCTCCGTCGTCCCTCGTACTTTGATTCGCTTTGCAATTCAGTCACCAGTTGTAATTTGGCCACTGGATTTTCAATTGATTCAATTTGAGCCCCCATTTATATTTCACATTTTTTGCAATCTAACCCCAAAGTCTTATTTTATTTATTATTAACATGTTTTAATTAGTACTAACATTGTTTATTTTTACTTCATATCGTTTTTATTTTATTACTTTTGAAATAATTTATTTATTTATTTATTTTATATTTATTTATTTCTTTTCTTTTTCTTTTATTTCTTTGATTTACTTTTTTAATCTTTATTTCTTGTTTCCCTTTTATTCATTTTTATGTTTTTATTACTATTATATATATATATTTTATGTTTTTGCCTTTTTATATTCCTTTTTTTTATTTTTCTATCTAATATTTTTTCTTTTTCAGTAATAATCTCAGTCGATCAAAGGTAAATTGTTCGAATCGAATGTTTTAAATTTTGATTTAAATTTTCAATTTTCGCACTCAAAGACAACCGGAAAATTAATTGGTACCGAAAGGGCGGTTCAAGGGTGCTAATCCTTCCTTGACCGTAACCGACTCCCGAGCCCGACACATTTCTGGTAAAACACAGATCAGGTAAGATGGTGTCCGACCCACCTAAATTCGTTTTAAAATGGTCGGTGGCGACTCCAATTCACTCTAACCCAAATTATTCAAGTCGAAGCCCAATTCTGGTGCCCAACCGAAAGACGGTTACGACAGCTTGGCGACTCTACTGGGGACAGGTAAGTGAGTCAGGCCGAAATTAATTTTCGGTTGTCTTTTTATGCGAAAATGGTAAATTTAAATTTAAATTTATTTATTCGATTCCAATTATTTATCTTCGATTATTTTTCAAATAAATAGTTGTACTGACGTTTTTTTAATGATTTCAGAGTTTTTCAAAATTGTCATCTCTAAGCTCTAAACCCGAGCTCCGAACCCGTTTTAAGTGGGGGTGAAAGCGACGCATTCGTGTAAATTTATTCACCGCATATGCCTAGCAAGTAGCCTTCGGGATTCATATACCTTATGTCTTCGTGTGAATTTATTCACCGTGCGAGCATAAGGGAATGTTTCCTAACGAGTTTAACTTAGTCCACACAAGCTTGTAATGAGCTTAGGACTAAGGGTCTGGCAAGCCCAAAGGGGCACTAGCAAGGAGAACTCGAGTACCTTTTTAGAACCTAAACCGGGAGAGTATAAGGAATTAGAGCCCACCCCAAAACCTCATTCCAAACCCTAGGCTGCTTTGTTTCCTGCTTTATTTTCTATTCAAAGCATGCGAACTAGACAAATATGCGGTTAGGATTTGTTTGAAATTAGTATGCGGGATAGATATCATGTCCGGGTAGGAATTAAAGCATGCGGGGTAGATATCATGTGGGGTAGGATTTTTCATTTTTTTTATTGTTTTGATTTACCTCACTTTTATTTTTTGTTCTCTTTTATTTTGTGTTCATCGTTTGCATCATTTAAAACGATGTGTTGATCTACCAGAAATGTGTTTGTTAAACATGAATAATCTGCATTAATGGACAAAGGGGTTATAATACAAAGAGATAAAAAGCTCATAAGTTCAGCCGTGGTCAAAGAATACTCAGAGGCAAAGGTTGCAGGGGCAAGACGAGGAAAATGTTGCTGACCCAGACGCTCCTTTTGAAAACTACGATAACAAGTGGTGAAACCCCAACTAAGCTGCAGACCATTATTGACGAATTCTAGAAACAAGTCGATAAACTTACGATAGAGGGCTCCAATGACACTTTCGTTTGGATCAAGCTCGACATAGAGTGAAAGCCGGAGATGCAGTCCTTCAAGACCCCTTTTGGGGCAAGCAGCCCATCACCTGCACAAGTTTAGCCAAAGGAGCCGGAATGGTTTGACAGGATATTCAACCAATGAAAAAGACGAATCAACTTGTCAGAAGTTGTGCAGGATCTGTACCATCAAAAAAGCTTTTTGTCTCTTCAGACGTAACACTTTTGTCACAAATAAGGGTTATTCAGAATAACAGGCACATTTTTTGGATCAATGCCTCGGACATTTCATGCATCATACATTTAGACATTTTGCATTTTTTATTTTCTTTGCATTTTGTTATTTTCTTTGCATTCACATTAACTAACATAAACATGTCTCATCAAAAAGGGGAGCAAATACTGGATACACCGCCTCAAGCATTGGACACACCCCATCCGCATAACACTCGTTTGAAGAAGAAGAGGATGGAAGCCAGAATTACACAAATCGAGGAGAATTTGAAACTACAGAAAGAGCTAGAAGACAAGATAAACCAAAATAGTCGAAATACTCTAGAAACAATCACAAAGAACCAAGAGTCCTTGGTTTGATCAGATCGTTGCCAAGTTAGTTGGCCTACAATAGACCAGTGTGCCTGGGGAAGGTTCACCGGAAGGGGTAACTATACAACCTACCCCGCAAGTGGTTATCTCACCTGAAATCTTACCAGAACTTCGAGGGGACTCATCTGCTGCAAAAGCAAAGCCCTCGTCCTCTTTATTTAACCTTAAGAACAATCCGGGTTATTACCATGTACCGGATTTGGACGAAGATGACAAAGCGAGGAAGATGGAGGAAAAAATCAAAATAATTGGAGGACCAAATGAAGGTAGTCAAAGGAGACCATGACTA